CAGAACTGTAGCAGTGATCCAGCAGAAGACCGGGATGTGGCACATGATGTGGAGGCTTCGGGAGCTCTTGATGTGGGAGATGATCCCGCTGGCCTGCTCCTCATCTCCGAACCTCTTCCTGAAGTACTTGTCCTTCTGGGGGTCAGTAAACCCTCTGACCTCTGTCATGCTGTCGACAAACTCCCGGGGGATGTGATTGGCCGCTGCAGGTCGGGTGGTTATCCAGATCCGAGCAGAGCGTAACAGTTTCCCACTGATGAGTTTCCTCAGCAGGAGATTGACTTTAGTTGATGTTGTTACATCAACTGAGCGCATGTCATCCACATTAAGGTCCAGATGAAGGCGGCTCTCGTCCAGTCCATCGAACACAAAGAGAAGTCTGAATTTGCTCTTGTCATAGTTGGCGTTTCCTGACGACTGTAGCGCTGTGAAGATGTGATTAAGAGCCTCCTCCTTGATGTCCAAAGTTTCTGGGATACATTCATGAATGAGCTCTGCCAAACTAAACTTCTCTCCCTTCAGTGGGTTCAGCTGACGGAAGGTGAAGGGGAAAATCAGGTGCACATCCTGGTTGCTTCTTTTTTCAGCCCAGTCCAACACGAACTTGGTGACAAGGAACGTTTTTCCAATTCCCGCGATTCCATTGGTCAGCACTGTTTTTATGGGTCTGTATTCTCCAGAAGGATGTTTGAACATGTCCCTGGGTTTCACTGGTTTCTCTGTGTCTGTTTGCTTCCCTGCTATTTCAATCTGTCGCACTTCGTGCTGCGCGTTGATGTGTACGTCTGCCCCGGCTGTGATGTACAGCTCTGTGTAGATATCAACCAGACGCTCTTTATCTTCCGCCCACCCTTCTTGTGCACACATAAACTTGTCCTGGAAGTTTGACTGAAGCAGCTGTTGGTAGTATTCGATGGGATGCGGCTCTGGTACTGGAACCATCACATCTGTGTCAAACGTGAAGTGAAAAAGAGAAAGTATGAGGCATCTGTTGACAGATGACACAGGGTTTTTGGTAGGAGTCATTGTCCTCCTAAGAATCATCTTCAACACAACTCTAATTAAACAACAACCTAAAGAAACTACGGCGAGTGCTGAGTGCCGCATGTGGCTGAGCAACGGTTTATAACTGTAGGCAAAGCAAGTTTGTCTGGGGGTACTGTTCTAGCTATTCTGCTGTATTTGTTGTCCATTGTTTGCAGTTCTGGAAGAACAACAGTCCTGCAGCAGCAGCCGGGACAGAGAGGTCTGCTGCTGCCATTTGTGTTGATGACTGTTGAGGTTCTCTTTCGTATGGGCTTGTGAATAACCGAGCAAAGACGAGACAGGATATTCAGGAGGCGGCTGACAGTAACAAGGTTGGCAGGGTTAAACTGGCAAAGGACAGGAGCAGGCAAGGCAGCAGGTAAATGTGGAGCATAGGTTTTGGTGGGCCTCCTGTAATCAGGAAATAGTGTGGGTCATTACCAGGAGGCCGAGATGGAAACCAGACAAACAGGAACAAAAACACAAGAAAAATCCAAGTATATTCCAGTCTGAAAAGGGGCAGGCAAGAGTCAGAGTCCAAAAGGCAAGGTTGACAACAAGGTAAGTACAAAACAAGAATGTTGGAAAGTCACCAGGAGAGATCAAGCGCCAACCTCTGAGAAATGAAGCCAATGGTGAAGTGTTAAAACCTGCAGTTCCTGGAATGGCCACTAGAGGCTCCAAAAGGGAGTAGGTCCCCCTAGACTCCCTTGTTAAAATGTCCAGCCTTACAGCAGAAATAAACGTTTACAGCTTGGAACAAAAAACGGTTTTGGTCTCTATAGCTAATTTCACCTTCCACAACAACTGAATCTTTTTATAACCCTAAATTATATTGAGGCTTAAGTTTACACATAATTAATGCTGTGGACACTTTGAATGACAGGCGGGAGGGCTCCTGCCACAGATGGTAGGCTGCTAGCTGTCTACTGACCTACACTCACACTCCACCTCTTTGGCTGTTTCTGGATTAACTGGAGTTAGGCGGAATGAGGTTCTACCTAGATGGGGACAGCCACACTTGAGCCTCCAAACTGCGCTTCAGAAAACCAGTCTGAGATTTTAGGAGTATGAGGTGATGAACAGCTGTGGGGGCTGCCCCTGACTCTCCATCGACTAAGTCACAGTAAATTCACACAGAATGCTTGTCACACAGCAGCTTTACCTTCGGCCTGAGGAAGAGGAGTCTGAGAGGACGGTCCTGTGTTCTCTGATGTCCGCCCACTGTCACCGACATCCGCTGACAGAGACAGAGATACTGTCAGTATTGATTCACTTATCATCAGGTTGATCAGTGTCGTGGCCTCTATGTGTTTGTTTTTAAGTGTGTATCTGTCTTTAGACATTTCTCTAGTTTTAATGGTGCAGCCTGATTTTCTAAATCGCTGGCGTGACACTAGTCAGTAGTTACTAAGAACTGATGTGGGACCTAGTTTCAGATCCGGTGATGGACTTATGAGGACCTGGTGCCTATAAAACACAATTTTGTGTTTTATTATAAATTAGATTTTGTAACAGTTTAATATCACTTTCACTTTGAAGTTCAGCTTGACTTCCTTAAACCCAGGTGTTTCAGCTTGATTTCTGTCAGCTACAACAGAAAGCTGATTGGGTCAAATAAGCCCCGGTCAGAGTGATACAATGTGCACTGGGTAAGGACAGTGTTTTAATGCACTTCTCAGGCTGCAGCGACATCATGTTTCCTCTTCCTGTGACTGACCTTCTGCTCCTGAGCTGCTCTCAGACAAACGCTGCACCAGGTCATTCCTGTGGATCTTCTCTAAAACCTTCCTGGTCACCTCCACAGCTCCAGGAAGTCTGTACGTCTGCACCATCAGATCCACCGTGTCCCAGCAGTTTGTTGTCTGCAGTCGGCCCCTTCTGATGCTTGGGAAGCCCTGGAGGCTGTCGGGCTGCTGCAGGAACCACTTGAATTTAGTGAAATCCTCCTCTCCCAGATCTTCCAGAGTGTTCAGGAGCTCCTCTGGTGTCATCACAGCTCCCTGTTGGAGGCAGACAATACTGTCAGCAGTCATGTGACAGTGTGACTGGGTTCTTTGTCGTCTCATTAGAAATCCGGCCTTCATACAACAAAGAATAGTCCAAATCAAGTTTTCGTTACCTGAATCTGAGTCATCACGGTCTACATTATCTACAACTGACAGCGCTCTCACCATTGTAAAAGATGTTTGCTGTGACACTATAAACAAACAAGTACAATAGAAGCGTATCGGACGCAGCATGGTGCAAAAAAACAGGTTTTCATAACAGTAACTTGACAAATTATTAGATTTTTACAAAAAAAGTCAGTCATCATCTTTAACTTCCATATTTGAATGCAGTCAAAGCTGGAGTCCGAGTCTAAGCCAAGTCATGAGTCCTGAAAATCAGACTCTACTCGGTCTTGAATACTAGTCCTGGACTCGAGCACTACAATGCTGCCACGTCCTCTCCCATTTTCATTTCATTCATCAAACAGTGTGCAAAACCATAGTTCATGCACCTTAAACCAGATATTCATGTTTCAGTATATATGTGCCTTTGTGACATTTACTTATCACTTTCCCTTAGAAAGCTTGATTTCCTTAAACCCAGCCCAGGTGTTCAGCACGTCAAGCCTCACTGGAAGCTGATTGGTCAGCCTGATCTGGGTCATATTTTCAGACCAGGAGGTCTGACCCCCTGTGGTCCGTCATTCTAAGAAGCCTTGAACGAGACACTGAACTCCTTCCCTGCTGTCAGTACTTAGTCACTGCTGTGACTGAACAAGAGGCAGGACGTATGAAGGACTCACACAGATACAGGAGCTGTCCTCTCCTCGCTGATGTTTCGGTGAGCGTGGATTCCCCTGCAGCCTGAGACAGACGGATGTGTACAGTCTCTATAAGGCGACGAGCAGCATAAGAGCTGAGAGAACCAAGAGGATCTGCACTTGACCAGGAAATATGCGTTCGCATTTCCTCAAAAGAGGAGGAACCTGATGGGGTTAGTATGGCAGTGTGTTGTGTCATCACAGCCACAAGGCGTGGACACCAGCTCTGCTGAAACAGGAGTGAACCAGAAGGAGACAGCCCTGTACACAAAACACAATAACCATTTAACCTCCAGTAGTGACATGGGCAGTTACCAGTCAACATCATAGTGACACAGCGAATCACATGACTGATCTGTGGCTGAAACGTGTGAAAGCTGCAGTCAGAAACTCAGTGTGAGCAGTTGCTGCGGTTCCGCCCACCAGACGCTCCACAGGCCAGGGCCAGCACACAGGGACAAGCTGCAGCCTCAGTACGATCCGTCATGGTCTCGCTGTCATGGAAAAACTGCTCTGAGAAAAGGGTTTTATATTTCAGATCCTTTTATTATACACAAAAAAATCCAGAGTTGGTTCATCAACACAACACTACGCAACCTGAGGAAATTGTGCAATTCCAGTTCTTCTCACGTTGTCATCATAAACTGTCCACCCGTTACATTACATGGACCCATTTCTGTCTGTATGATTCTGCTACCAGCCACATCAGTGTGTGTATTAAGTTGATGATGTGTGTCGTGTGTGTCTGGTTTCTGCTCATCCTTAGCCAATCATAATGTGTGGGTGATGAAAGTATCATGTGGTACCAAAGATGTGTGTCTCAGCCTTCTCCTCAGACATGGTTTTGTAACTAGGAAGTTCCTGGACTCTGGACAGGAAACCCCCAAAAAGGATCCGTCTCTGGTAGGTACCAGCTTAAACCGCCCCAAAGACACACTTCTCAAACAATGACTAAACACACAGCACTGATGTGTGAAAGAATACACACCCATTGTATAACACAGTACAACACGTGTGCATACTGCATACCGTCTTTATAGTCGGCATAAATGTTAGATGTTACTTCCCTGCTGCAGTAAGACTGATGGCAAATACACAATGTGGAAGACCTGTGCAATAACCCCTCAGTACCCTGCTAAGTAGAAGACCATATACAATTACACCATTTTACCTGCCATCTTATTCCTGTATCCACAATTTTATCAACTATTTTGTATTCTTGGGCAATTCTTATATTTGACTAGATGTTCGTTCTTTTGGCTTTAAACTCTTGACTTGACTCCAGGGGAGCCCTGTACAAGAATTCCTATATGCTTAGACTGTTTATGCATAAATGGTAAATAAAAATCTTGAATCTTGAATCTTGCACATGTGACAGCTCCAGCTCAGAGACTACACAATACTCATCATAGTCTTCATGTAAACATATAAACGTGTGGCATTGTAATATTATGAGATGATGCACAAGAGCACGTGCTTTTCAATGAGTTTTAAATGGTTTAGTGCCACAGAGCCAGCAGGGCCTCTGAGTTGCTCTGGTCTAACGAGCTGGGAGCAGCTCAAAGCGCTGAAGGGCCTAAACAAACTGAAAAGCTTCTGTTTGTTCTGTATTATTGTCATTTTGTTATTATTCTATATTATCTGTCTTTAAAGGAAAAAAGTCTTATTTGTTTTCTGGAAGTGAAAACCAAACGCTCTGCAGGCGCCTGGTGCACTGGCCTATCATCAGGACTCCTGCTAATGCAAAGCCTGGAGTTAATTCACAGGATTTTACAGTTTCAGTCATAAACATTCATTTAATGTATACATTTTTTAAAAGTGTAATAGAGTTTGTATGAGGTAAGCTGGGAGGTGCATTTCCTTTGTGTCAGATTCTGTGTAAACTGCAGCCTTCTTCATGCTTAGGAATCATCTAGAAAATCTCACTGAAGCAACTTTAAATCGCATGGGATCGTTTGAATGTATGAATCTTTGGTTAAAGCTCACAACAACGTCTAACCTGCACATTCATCTGTTTCCCTAAGTCACAGATTTAGCTGACAAACCATGCCACGCAGCAGGAAGGCCGGTGGTCAGTAGACCTTGCTTTCCCAAACAGATTAAACCTCAGTAGCATCATGAATCACACACTGTGTCCAGGTGTGTCAGGTGTCGGCTTCTCTCCTTGTTGGAACTCGTTTCTGTTGTGTTCTGTGCAGCTTTTGCCTGTTGTGGTACCGAAGCACACAGCCGAGCTCTCTCATTGCTGTCAGAGCGAATCTGAAGGACACAATCTGATGCAACCACGACAAACCGCTGTCATCACACACACTTGGCTAAAAATAAAAGGGTGCAGGAATGTGAGTGGTGATAACCAGTTGGCAGAGATAAACCAGTCACCTCACTGCTGGGAACCAGTCGCCAGCAGCTCTGTCACTTCAAGAAACCAACACAAAACCTTTATCAAACAGTGGAACTTCTATCTAACAGCTGGAGTTTAAAGGTGTGTAAAGCTAAACAGACTTTGCTGCTGCTTTCCTTTCTTCTTTTCAAGGAGGCAGAACACAGCATGAAAAACACAACACAAACCAGGAGACACTGTATAAAAACGTCAGTAAGCTGAGAACAAAGCAGGCTGTACAGTCAGTTATTGGCGTCATGAAGTCAGAATCTGCTGAGGAGGAGTAGAGGAAGAAGAATTCAGAGGGCCTGACTCTAATCTGTGTCTCTCTGACTTCATGTACCCTTGCAGACTGCTCCAGGTGTCTGTAGCAGGAAGCCTGTAGTGCTGTTTCTGTCTGAGCCCTGGGACACAGCAGCCGGTGGCGGGAGACGAGCTCTGTCAGGGGAGTTTGTCTGACACAGGTTGATACATACAAATGTACCGCCGACTGAAACATGGAGAGAGGCGAGCGGCCGCCTGTGGAGCACGGGCTCGGTGTCGGCTCACGCTTTCAGGTCGGTGACAAATCCTAGTGTGAGAAACGGTCAGAGCCGGTGCTGCATGTTCAACATGTCAGTGCAGTGAGAGCTGGTGAGGAGGAGGCAGCGAGCGGCTGCTGTCTGGCTTCTACAGGAAACCAAGGCTTGTGTCTAAAATACAACTTCAGGGCAAGTTTCTCCACGTTGCCCCAAAGTCAGACGTCCATCCACCCACCACCCACACGTAGCAGCATCAGGTTTCTGTCGGTATCTGTGTTCCGTGCCGACTCCTGGGTTCAGTGGCTGTACAGTAACCTTCTGGAGGTTTGGCTGTGAGCTGACAAACTGATGGAGTTGTGTTGACATGATGACATCATGTTTTGGAGATGCTGCACTAGTCCCAACCAGCAGTGCTGTGTGTTTCCATGTGGATGTCGAACGACCGGGATGCTGCAGTGATGGACCAGCCGTGGAGCGGTGGCTTATAGTAGTAAAGCAGTAACATTGTCAGATGCAGTTTTTGACCTTAATGTAAGTAACATGGTGGTCATCATCACAGCGTGTGAAAAGGATCTTGGCACCACAGTGACATGACATTCAAACAGAAGCCGTGTGTTCTGTCTCAACCAGCAGCCGGAGCTGAGCAGCCGTGTGGTGAACATCTGGATGACCCGAGTGTGGGCTAGGCCTCGGCAGCTGTTCTGTCTGCTGCTGACTCCTGGGTTCAGGACGTCAAGGTTGGCGTCAGCCCTTCAGTCACACTGAGAAGTCTGAGTCTGACGTCACGTGTTCACTGACAGGAGCTAAAGCCACGAAGATAAGCTTCTTAGACTAGCCTGATTTATCGAAGCTGGAGATCTGCAGGTTGTGTATGTCCAGTTAAGGATCTGATCATTGTGTACATTCACACAATGTGAAGGTGTCCTTTAACTAAGCTTGTTACTGCAGCATGTCTAGTGCAGCTCTAAAGAACAACATCCAGGTGGGAGACGACGTCACCAGACACTGCTGATCGTCCTCAGGAGGCAGCTCCGACAGGTCCAATACATATTCTGTGTTTATATATCAATTCAGGAATGTGTGGCCTAGTGTGGCGGCGTACCAGATGAGGCTGTTGTTTCACACAGCTACGCACCTGATGTGCAGTTTAGAAGGCAGATTTTGTTTCATTAATAATAAAGTCCTGCTCATTTTTCACTGACTTTGGTTCATCTGAGCTGATGTGGACGCTGCCAGCTGGATTCTGGTGCTCATCAGACAACCAGCATCCGGTGCACTGGTTTGAAAGTCAAGCAGAGCGACTGTGACTGTGTGACTGGCAGGAGTTCAAACAGTAAACTACACTGGGCCATTGTCACCCAGTTAGCTCACATCTGTGTTTGTACTGTTTGTGCTGTCCTCATGAAAAGCGGCCCCTTCTGCTTGGGTCTCGTGACATTAACGGTGTTTGTAATCATCAACTACCTCACAAGTCTTTGTCATGGGACATGAACCTGCACGTCTGAGTCTGAAGCCAGAGACGGCACCGTGTGTTTCTGTCTCTGGTCCAGATGAAATGAGCTGGACTGCAGCTGTGAACGCCACCTGAGTTGTGTGTGACACAATGCTGAGGGCTTCCTCCTGTTCGACCTCACTACAGACAAGCGCCTTGTGGGTCCACAGGTCTGTAGACGTCACCTCAGAGTGGAAAATGTCTGCTGAGGCATCTACAGATGTCATATGTGTGCTGGGGGCACTTATCCCAGCACTCCTGCTGCTGTGGCCCGTTGGCGTCAGCAGGCTGCCGTTAGCTGTTAGCCGTTATCTCCCCCACGTGTCGGCGGGAACGAGGAGCTGCTGGATGGCCCCGGGCCCCACACAGCCTTGTATGGCCATGGCCTGCTGGGAGAGGGCGATAAGCAGCACACAGGCAGCTATGCAGCCATGTTTAGAGCACTGTCTGTTTCTGTTAAATTTAGAGCAGTTATCGGACGCAGCTCTCCCTCCAGAGCACACTGTCTGCTGCTGCTGCTGCGCCGGGACCAGAGGTGAGTACAGGATCTGAGGGGGACCAGAGAGTCCAGGTTTCCAAAGGTTTTCTCTCCGGGGCCAGGATTCCTCCAGCTGTGGACGAGGATTGCTGAGGGACTGTAGGAGTACCGTGGTGCTGTTGTTGTGTTGCAGGGGGTGTGATGATGTTTCAGGGATGAGACAGGGGCTCCCAGTAAACGTCGCTGTAGTAATGGTGTAGAAATGTTAGACTGAGGCTGTTTGGCAGTCGTAACACGATCATAGTGTTTGTAATGATGTCGAGAGGCTGTGCACTGTAAACACGCCCGCTTCATTCTTAACAAACACAATAAAAACAAAGAGTTTGACCTCAACATCGATTATCAGCTGTTCTAGTAAGTAATTCAACAAACTCAGTGATTCTTCAACAATAGTGGCAAAACAAACTCTTGACCTCTGAGTCACTACGGAGCGCACGTAGCTGTGCACTGACAGAGATGTAGCAGGTGAAAATGAACAACATTCAGAACCAATAAATGTTCAGAGAACAGGAGCAGATGGGGACAAAATACAAAGTCAGACAAGCTGCGAATGTTGTAAACAACCAGGGGCAGAACGTGTGATCAGTATGAACAGCGTGTGCACGTGTACACGTGTACAGCCTGCTCACATTCATATTTACTGCAACAAGCTCTTCACAATGTAACTGAACAACTGACTAAAATGAATCCAACCTGAAACGTTCATGTGATCAATAGAAACAAGTCGGTTTGACAAAAGTAACAGATCACTGATCAATAAGTGGACACAACTAGAATGATCAGGAAACTAAGAAGGAGATTAATTAGTTGTAGTTTTTCTCTGTGGGACAGTTACTGCAGGAGTAACGTTACAGGGATGTGGTGGCTGCATCAGTGGTGAACAGGCTGCCAGTGTAACGTTGTATGGTGCTATTTGCTGTGGTGATGTGTGCACTTTGATTTGATTTGATTTATTCTTTCAAGCATGTAAAACAGTTGATATGACAAGACTTCGTCACTGACCTTCTCTCTCACATGATGCAAGCCGCACACGACACATGTGCCATCTTCATAGGATCACAGGTGGTAATGACGGTGCTCTGCTGCAGTTAAACCTGACCAGTATGATAACAGTGACCTCTGCTGGCACCTGGGGGCTTCTCCACCACTGCTGCACAAACTGGAGGATGAGTTGAAACGCCACCAAGAACAACCAAAGGCCACCGACAGCATGTGTCTTCAGCAGAGGGGGACGTGGTTCAAAGAGGACGGCTGTTCCAAAACTCCCTGCTCCACCAGCCTCACATGGAACAGCTGGAGGCAGCTGACCTGGGGGGCCAAGTGTGGGCAGAGGAGTCCTCACGTATACCCAGGTGGTAAATAAACAAATCAAAGAACCTTAAATCACTGCTGCATTTGACAGGAAGCCAGTGTGGGGGTGTCAGGAGCAGAGTAGTGCTGAGTCTTTGTCTGGTCCCAGTCAGGACCCCTGCAGCAGACGAGACGGTGGCGACCGGCCGATACCCAGGTAGAGTGAGTGGCAGGAATCCAGTCTTAAGATTAAAGTGGTG